AATTCTGTCCACTGTATATTTATTCTGTTTGTTAATAAAAAGCAATAAATGGTCAATGATTCATTCAGCCTCGTCCTTAACAGGAAAATTTTTTAATTATGTTAATATCCTCTATGATATTTTTTATTTTCCGATCCGATTTATTCTTTAAATTTTTGTCTTTTTAAAAAAACTTTTTACACAATTTTAAACTTTTAATTTTTCTCAGATTTTCTATTTAAATATTAAAGTCCACATAAATTATTTTATTTTTTAAATTCACCAACCAACCAGACCATCACCACCACCTTCCAACTATTTATTTATTTTAATAGTACTTTTACGTAGATGTCCCCAATTTTTTCTTCCGCTTTTTTTTCAAAATAATTTCCATTCAAGTTTCTTTATTGTAAATTTATATAGGTGAGGAATGCCGTTTTAAATGCTCTTTCCGCTTGAATTTCTCGACAAACGGTTGGGGGACTTTTTTTAAACTTTTCTTTTCCTGCTGGTTATATATTTTACTTTTAATATTAAAAAAAGAATATATAGCTATACCCACTTTTAGGATTTTTCATCTTCTGTCCTTAAAAAAAGTGAAAGGCTAAAGCTGTTCCATTTCATCGACCAATCTTCAATTGACTAACTTTTTATTTATGTAAATAAAACCAGAAAAAAGCAAACAAAAAATCAAATATTTATTTAAAAATATTATCATTTTCAAAGTTTAATTTAAATATTATTAAAAATCATCGAGAACTCCTTTCCCTCCTTTTTTTGAAATTATAATTTTTGTTTAATGATAAAAAATTATCTTCTCTCTACCCAGCTGCTTATCAGTTATTATTTAATTTTTAAATTTTATTTTTTTAAATAATAAATATATTTTTTAAACATTGTTTAAATTTTATTGTGTAATAATTTTCATCATTTTATTAACTTAATATAATTGATTAAAACAATTTTTATTTTTATTTTTTAATAGTGCATATTTCATATATTTTTTAAATCTTTATTTTAATTTGTTAATATTTTTAAAGTAAAATACCTAAATAATTTAAAAATGGCTGGCTCAAATGGACGAGGTTATTTTTCTTTATTGGATTGGCTACGGAAAAATGCTTTAGTCTGTGCTACTGCTGGAGGTAATCTAAATAAATTTAACTTTTATTAATTTACAAAAAATATTTATTTATTAAGGTGTACTTCTCGGTGCTTTATTGGGCTCTTTAATTCGTTTAGGAAATCCTTCAAGTCAGACAATTATGTTATTAAGTTTTCCTGGGGAATTACTTATGCATATGTTGAAAATGATGATAATACCTTTAATTTGTATGTTTTTTTAAAGAGAAAAAATTAAAAATATTTAATTTAAAGTTTCTTCTCTCATTTCTGGTCTTGCCCAATTAGATCCAAAACAATCTGGTCGGGTATGTGTTAATTTAAAAACAATCGAAATACTTCTTTATTTTCCTTTAAAGGTCGGTAGTTTGGCTGTAATTTATTATTTTGCTACAACAGCAATAGCTGTTGTTACTGGAATTGTTTTGGTTTTAGCTTTACATCCTGGAAATCCAGAACATCACAAAGATTTAAGTAATGGAAGAGAAATTAAAAGAGTTAGTACTGTTGATACTTTACTTGATTTAATTAGGTAGTTTTTAAATTTAAATAAAAGAAAATTATTTCCTCTCTTTCATTAAAAAAGAAATATGTTCCCAGAAAATATTGTACAGGCAACAATGCAGCAAATGGAGACTACCGTTCAAGTTGTTAATAAAACAATTCCTGGAAGGGACCCAATTAGATATAAACCTGTTTACAAAGACGGAATGAATATTCTTGGTTTTTAATAAATTATTTTTAATTTAAAAAGAAAAAATATTTTTTGAAGGAATTATTGTTTTTTGTATAAGTTTTGGAATTGTTATAAGTCAATTAGGGGAACGTGGGCGTATTATGGTTTGGACTTTTAAGTTTATTTTTTTAATAAATTTATTTTTAAGGTTGAATTTTTTGGAGTTTTGGATTTGGCTATAATGAAACTTGTTTCTCTTATTATGTAAATTAATTAATAAATTTAAATTAATTTTAATTTGTTTTTAAATAGGTGGTATTCTCCATTAGGCATTACTTGCTTAATTATGGGAAAAATTCTTGAAGTTGATGATATTAGCAATACTTTTCGGTCTTTATTTATGGTAATATTTAATTAAATATATTTTATATCAATCATTAAATTCTGAAAAATTAATTTTAAAAGTGAAACAATAAAATTAATAAAAAAAATTAAATATTAATTCAATCAGTAATTGCCCCAATTACCTAATTACCCTAATCAGTAATTACCCTAACATTATACCCTATAATATTCTCTTTACAAATTAAATTTTATTTTTATTTTTTTTAAATTTAGTACACAGTAACAGTGCTAAGTGGTTTAGCTATTCACTCATTAATTTCATTACCTCTTCTCTTCTTTCTATTAACTCGACAAAATCCTTTTATTTTTATGCGTGGATTGCTTCAAGCTTGGGTTACAGCTTTGGGAACGGTAAATGAAAATAAATAAATTTAACAAAAAAATTCTAAAATTAAATTGAAGGCTTCTAGTTCTGCTACTCTCCCAATTTCGTTTCGTTGTTTAGAAGAGAATTTAGGTATTGACAGACGTGTTACTCGCTTTGTTTTGCCTGTTGGGGCAACTATAAATATGGTAAAAGAATTTTTGTATATTTTTTTAAATTTTATTTTAAAAGGATGGAACAGCACTTTATGAGGCTGTAGCAACAATTTTTATTGGTAGATAAAATAAATATATTATAAAATTTTAAATTTTTAAGCACAAATGAATAATGTTCAATTAACTTTTGGCCAAGTAGTCACTGTCTCCTTAACAGCTACTTTGGTTAAAATTTAAAAAAATATTTATATACCTTAACCTTTTTAAACATTAATTACGATACAAAATATCGCCAAGTATTTTTAGTCCTCAAAAATGTATTATTTTATGGATATTTATATCAAAAATATTTTTTAAGACAAAAAATCAGAGATTGAAATTCAAAATATAAATTTAAAAAATTTATTATTTTATTATTATTAAGTGTTCTCTATATTACTTTAACTTTTAGTATAAGTTTTTAATACTTATTTTCATTAAAAGGCTTCTATTGGGGCAGCTTCTGTTCCATCTGCTGGTCTTGTCACAATGTTACTTGTTTTGACTGCTGTTGGTTTACCTGTAAAAGACGTTTCTTTAATTATTGCTGTTGACTGGTTTCTGTAAGTTTTTTTCTTCCAAAAATTTTTCAAAAAATTTATTTTATTTAGTGACCGTATTCGAACTTCAATAAATGTTTTGGGCGATGCATTTGGGGCTGGAATTGTTTATCATTTTGCAAAAAAAGATTTGGCAAAAGCTGATGCTGAACATGCGAGAAAAATTCTTGAACAAAATGATGCTTTAATGATTGCTGGGGAAAAAGGACGGAGAAGCAGTTAAGTTTCTTAGGGAGAAGGAGGAGATCCTCTCTATTCTAAATTCACACTTTATTTATCCTAACCTAAATAACATATTTACATTCCATTATTAATTATATATTTTTCAGCATTTATGGTTCACAATGATGATCAACAATTACAACTTTTAAATTCAAATAGGCATGGTTATGAGCCAGTCCCAAGTTCTGATGAACCAACAGCAGTTACTCGAACAAGCGATCCTTCAACAACAAATAATAATAATCATCCTTAAATTTATTTCCTTCCTCTAATTTTTTTTTAATTGCCCCCCCCCCCTCCTCTCCCCAAATTAAGGATACAGAGCTTTTCCTTTTATTTACCACAATTTTTTTATTTTTAGTTATTTTTTATCCCGTGTGTTTTCTTTATTTAAAAGTGATCCAAAAAAATATTTTTTAATATATAATTTGTTATACATATGATAATGCTGAATTTTCTTGGCTTTTTCTAAAATGAGAAAAGAAAAATTTGTTTTAAAAAGCCAAGTCTTTTTTTCTTATATTGTTTTATTTTGTTTAAAATATCCTTATATTTTTATACTAGTCTCTGTCTTCATCAAACTTTTTTAGATTTTCTACAGATATCTGGCTATTTATAAATTAATATCCGATTAATAAATAAGTCAGAAAAAACTGTTATAGTTAATATGTATTTTTTAGAATTTTACAAAAGCAATTGTACAAAAACTTTTATTTTTTAAACTCCATCTCCCTTACCGGTTAATTTTTTATCATTCCTTTTTGTCACAAATTGTCAACAAAAAATAAAAACATTTTATTTTGAAATATAAAATTTTTTCTAAATTAATTTTTTTATCCAGAAGTAGATAAAATTATGGGAGTTTCTCCATCACTGGGTATTTGAAGTTTTTGTAAAGGAGGAGGAGAAGGGCCTAGCCAAAAAGTAAAAATCAACAATGCAAAAATTACCTGAAAAATTTAAATTTAATATAGTGAAAACATTTATTTTAGAAATTTAAACTGAACACTTTCTATGGATGGGCATCCTAGAAAGGGAACAATTGAATTAAGGATGTCAATTAAAATAGACCCGGATTAATTTCAATATTTTTTCCTATAAAAGTATGAATTTTCGAGTATTTCCGGCAAAGAGCTATCTCCAATCAGTCACCACATCGCACATTTTTGTCGGCGGTCGAGCAACGGCACCAAACTTCATAGACTCCTTTGCGCACATAGACGATATTCGTCAAAGCAGAACAACAACAGATGTCTCACAACGGCGGTAGCAGTCAAAACAATGGCTGTAACAACGACAGAAACGACAGAGACAATGGCAGCAGTCGGCGACTTAGGGGCGTTCAGAAAGGGATCGGGCAATGCTCCTGGAGAAGTAGCTGTAACAAACGGGTGAGGATTACATTTTTTACTTAATTAAAGGTTTACAATATTCCACCCACTAATTTTCAGAAGCGAAAGACCACCGGATCCACATCACGTCAATCAGTTTTGGCCGCTGCCGCTCTTCGTCGCAATATGCCCTTTTTGGATGTGCTGCCGTTTGACACACTTGCAAACGCTGTCGCCTACTTGCCGTTTGATGATTTGGCCAAAATTGGACTTGTATCAAAAAAATTCCATAAAGTTTGCTTTTGAATTGTTAAGTTTAATAAAAATTTTCAAAATATTTTAGGTCCAGAACATGACAAGATATTCGCGAAAACACATCTCCGTTGGATTGCTTCGTCGTCTCTTCCCTGATGCAATAATTCCTTCTCCGAGCACTACAAGTTGTGTTGGCATGCTGCAAGTAATGAGGCCACTTCGGCGAGCACTTCGTTCCTATCCATCAGGAAATATCAATGAGGTGGACTTGTCTGAGTTGTTGGCCTTTCGCGAATCGCATTTTGAGGAGCTGTTGAAGGTTCTTAAAAATATTTTTCTTCGAAAAGCAAAGATTATTAATTTTTCAGTCCATCAACAACGGGAAATCACTGTTCACAGAGGTTCGACGGCTGAACGTGCGTGGTTGTGTTGTCGAACCAAAAGACATTGCCTTTCTTGCTCAGCTAATGCCTAAAGTCTGGTTCGTGCGCTGCTCACCACAAACGCTTGTTCTGCCAGAAGAAATGTTTGTTTTTAGATAAATTTTGAAAATAAAAAATAATTTTGTTTATTTTTAAGCAAAGAGCATCTAATGCTGACTGCCGAACAACAATATCAACTACGAAACCGAGTGGAAGACTATGCCCAACTTTGCGGGAAACTAACGCAGCGACAACTCTTGCTATTGTCTCAACTCACCGAGCAATTCCCGTGTCTTGAAATGGTTCAACTAGACAAATTGTAACATCAACTACATAAATAAATATAAAGATAACAACTATACAAAGAAGTAAGAGCAGCAAAGAATAAAGAATGTGAATAAACATTTCTCAATTATTGTACATAAACACAAACTTATTTTGAATGATTGTAATTTTGTTTTGTATATTTGTAAATATTGTGTATATATGTATGTATTATCTATGTATAAATACCCTCCTTTGTCAATTTAAATATTTTCTCAAAATAAATTTTTTAATTTAATTTACCGCAAAAATTGAAAAAGACATTATAATAAGCCATGTTTGTATTCCAAAGCAGCAATCTGTCATAGTTTCCCCACAGCAAATATACCAATGGAAGGGAGATCCAGAAGGGCATTGTGTATGCCTATCTAGGGTCAGATTACGACACCACTGGCCAAAGTGCTTTTCTGCCCACGCATTAGGGCGAGTAAAGTTGATGGAAATTGGAGGTGGCTCTGGAGGCCAAGCCTTTTAAATTAAAATATAATTTTAAAAGGAAATGTTTTCATATTTATTTGAGGTTATTATTGGAGTTGAGTATGCCAATCTTTTAAAATTTTGTTTTCTGTAAAAACTGTCAAATAATCTAATCTTAATAAAACAATTTTATGGGCGAGAAGGTAGAACATACTAAATGCTCTTTAAAAGAAAATCTTAAAAATTTTAGTAAGGATAAATTTTGTTTTGAGGTTTGTGGGATGTTATTTAACATCATTCAGTTAACTTTCCGTAATTTTTAAAATTTAAAATAAACCTGAACAGGTTTAGGAGGGTTTTGAAGAAGAAATTCAAACATTTTTGTTTAGAAAAGTTTATTTATTTTCTCTTTTTTTCAGAAATCCTTTTTTTATTCTTGCATTGTATTAATCTATTTAATAGTAAAATATGGAAAAAAGAATATTTTTTTATAATGGAGATTATATAAATGGTGAATGTTTTTTAATATTAAATATAATTTATTTAAATAATAAAAGATTTTTTTACTATATTTTGCTTTGTAGAAGTATAGGGATAATTTTGATTATAAAAATTAATTAATTTTAAATATTTTTTATTTAGATATTTAAATTTAAAAAAAATAAAAAAATATTTAGAAAAACTTAAAAACAATTTAAATGCCTTCTTAATTAATTCTCGTTAAAAATATTGTGACTTTTTGTTTTTACAATTTACTAAAAAAGTACGAGAATATATAAGTAAAAAAAGAGAAAGTGAACATTGTACGCGATTGACTTTAGAAAAATAAAATTAAGAAAACCGGCTATATTTGTTGATCTAAAAATAAGTAAAAGAAAATAAATAATAATTTAAATTAATTTTTATAAAAATATTTTTCTTTAAAATTGTAATAATTATTAATTAAATAAATAATTCTCTACCAATTAGGCGTCAATTTTTTTCAATAAAAATTAGTTTAAAGAAAAATAAATTGTTTATTTTTACTTTACATATAACCTTGAGTCAACAACAGGTTAAGAAGTAATTTAAAAGAAAAAAATTTAAAAATTAAATTAAATTAATTCAAAAGGCTTTGTATTATTATTTGTTCTAGTAAAATTAATTATTCTACTACCTCCTCTTTGGTGTTGAAAACTAAAAAATAAATTAATTAATTTAAAATTAAAAAAAACTTTTTAAAAATATTTTTTTCTTCATTTATTTTTTGATTTAAAAAATATTTATTTTTATTTATTTCTTCTAAAGTTGGTAATGTTGTTATTGTTGAAGTACTTGAATTATTACTACTTAAATTATTTAATGATTTTGATGTAATTATTGAATTATTAGAAGAATAAAGAGAAGGGGAAGGGGAAGGAGAATAATTATTAATTAAAATATTTTTTGTGTTTAGCCATTCATTTCGTCTTTTTTCAGTCAGAATTTTACTAAATAAATTTAATTAATTAATTGATTATTGAAAAGGATTGAATTAATGGAATTCAAATTATTTGAACATTTTAATAAATTAAAAAATGGTAGCTCGCCTTTCGCCATTCACTTTCTTGGATGTAAAACGAAATTTTTATATAGTACCTTATTCAGATTTTACTTAATTTTTGCCTGCAGTGTTGAGAATGGGGAATACTCAGTAATAGAAAAATATTTAATCAGTTACAGTACCGTTGCCTCCAATAAAGCAAATTTTTGGAAAGTACTTTTTCAATTTAAATTTCGTATATGAGATCAGGATATCCAAGGTTTTCCTAGGATTCTAATAGTTCTCTTAAAAATTCCAAATAATTTTCAACTAATAAAAAATACAAAAAATAAATGTAAATATTTATAATTATTTATTTTTTATTTATTTAAACAAAAACCTCCTTCCATTTCTCTCCTCCTCTTCCCATTTATTTTTTTCCCTTCTCTCCTTCTGATTTTTAAATTTTTCCATCATTTCTTGTCGACATAAAAATTCTTGATTATTTTCTACAAAATTTTGTCTCGTCATTTCTTTCAACGGAATAAATGAAGAAAAATGTGAAGAAGAAAATTGTTTATTATTTTTAGTCCTCCCCCCTTTACTGTTGGGTTCATAAAATATATTAAATTTTCTGTCATCCAAACTGTGAGCCTTTAAAAAAGTTTTTTTTTTTAATTTTTGCAAATAAATAAATATTTTTTGGGAGAGAAATAAATAAATAAATATTCTAAATATTTATTTTTGCAAAAGTTTTTGTAATTTATGTTTAGAATTTTAGAAAGAGAATTGTTGTAAATATAAATATAAAAATATATTTATTAAATTATTTAAATTGTAATTGGAAAGGAGAGAGGGTAATTTAGGAAAAGAAAATTATAAAAAATACAAAAATAATTTTGAGTTTGAGGAATTGGAAAATGAAAAAAATTTTTTAAAGTCTTTAAAGATTTTTTGAGAAGAGAGGGATGGAATAATTATAGGTAATTATTTTAATATTTAGAATTATTTCCCCCAAAGCTCTAATCCAAATTTTTTGAATTACAAAATTAAAAAAGATTTTAGTAATTTATATTGTTTTTTAGACCTGTCTTTGAATTGGTAAATGTTGAGGTGGTAATATTAAATTAAAATTATTAGAAGTTAATTTTGAATTAGTTAAATATTTATTTGTTGAATTGTTTGTTGTTGGGGTTGCTGGTAAATATCTCTTAAAATTAAATTAAAAAAAGTTTTTTTCCAAAATATAAAAAATGTCCAACGATTTATGATGTTTAAAATTATTTTTCAGTAAATTAAAAGTAATTAATTAATTATTAAAAACAAGTTTATATATTTAAATTAATTAATTATTTTGTACAGACAGTTTTAACTTTAAAATATTTCTACAGAAAATTTTTATTTAAATTGTTTCCTTAAAAATTTATTTGAGAAAACCTTTGTTTGTTTAATAGGCCAATTCCTCCAAATTTCATTTTTTGTTAAATAATTATTATTATTTAATTCTTCCTCCTCTTCTTCATTAAAATAATTAGGTAAATCCCAAGAATGTATTTGTCGATAAATATGATTTAAATGTTTGGAATAATCTTTTTTAATTTTTGTAGGTATATTAGTATATTGTTGTTGTTGATTATTTGAATAAATCTTTCAAAAAATAATTAAATTAAATAATATAAAGTAAAAAAAGTGATAATTTTTCTAAAAATTTATAAAACAAATCAAAAACAATAAATTAAAATAATATTTTAATTTGCAAAAAAAATTTTTTGAAATTAAAATAAAAAAGTTTTTTTATTAAATTTTGTATAAACAGCCAATCCCAAAAATAAATCTAAATAATCAACAGAAAAGAGAATTTGGCTAATAATTAAATATAAAATAGTTAGAGAATTTATTGGATCGACTATTTTATAATATAAAATATATATTACCGTAAATTCTCGAATATATTATCACAATTTTCAATCAAAAAATAAAAATCGAATAATATTTTTTTTATTTTTAAATATTTTTAGAAAGAATATTTATTTTTGTTTTGTGTTTTAATTTTGTTTTTATTTTAGTCTTTTTATGCAAATAATTTTTTTATAATCATTTTATGTTTCCAAAACAATTTCTAACCCCAATATATATAAATATAAATTATACTACATATATTTACACCCAAAAAATCTTTTTCTTTTTAAATTATTTTTATTTTGTATTTTTTAAAGAATTATATTCAAAATTCTGTTAAATTCCTTAAATCCACCTTTTTTGATTAAACATCCAACTTAACAATTAAAACATTTTCCAAAAATGTCTTTACTTTTTTTTATTTTCTATTTTATCATTTCAGCTAAAAAATATTTTTTAAATTAATTATTGTTGCCAGATATCTCTTCAAAAATAATCTTTAGACTGTAAACCCCCTTCTCTTTTTTACAATGACAAACTTTAGAAGGATTACCCCAAAATTTCTCGTTTCTTGTACCTTTTCACAAAAAGTACAAGTTCTTTTAAAAAAGTGGCTAATGCAGATTTTACAATATTTTAATTATTTTTTTGTGTATTTTATAGTTTATATTTATTTATAAAAATATTGCCAAAATTTAATACAAACTATCCCCAAAAATATTTATTTCTGTACTTATTTTAATTTTTCTTTTTTAAATTATTTTTAGAAACAAAATTTTAAAAACAAAAAATTCTAAATTTGGAAAATTTTTGGGGAAAAGCCGAATAAAAAAAATAGTTTTTAGTGTTTGTGCTGGAAGCTGTTTAAATAATTTAGCAATCTAAAAATAAAATCAAAAGTAATTTAAATAAAAAGAATATTTAGAGAATCTATTTTTATTTGAATGATTATTTTATTTTAATTTTTAATAAAAAAAAATTTATTTTTATATTTGTATTTAAAAATTTTTTTATTTAAAATTCTATTATTTTTTGTGAATTTATTTACAGGGTGACCAAAAAGTTATGGGGCACTTTTCATTTCATTAAAACTTTTTTTCTCATTAAACTATTTTCATATTTTTATACTCATTTTGTAGCCCTAACTATTGTCTTTC